TGAGGGGGGATCTTGTGGCCTGTTACAAACTAGTCAGGGGGGATCAGCAGGCATTGGGGAAGTCCCTGTTCCCCCGAGCACTGCCAGGAGTTACCAGGAATAACGGTCACAAGCTGGTAGAGGGTAGATTTAGGCTAGATATCAGGAGGCGCTACTTCATGGTCAGGGCGGCTAGGATCTGGAACCAACTTCCAAGAGAAGTGGTGCAGGCTCCTACCCTGGGGGTCTTTAAGAGGAGGTTAGATGAACACCTTGCTGGGGTTGTTTGACCCCAGTAATCTTTTCTGCCATGGCAGGGGATCGGACTAGATGATCTACTCAGGTCCCTTCCGACCCTAGAAACTATGAAACTATGCTCTATTAACCGGCATGCCGGTTGATGCAGCAAAAGCGAAACCGGAAGTCCCGCTCCCGGTTTCACTGAGTCCCACTTTGCCATGGCCTGGGGCAAAGCAGCCTGTGCGGAGCCCCTCTGCCTGTTGCCTGGCACAGTGACTCCAGGGAGTGAAAGCCTGGCACACTAGACATGGCAGGAGGGGTGGCAGCCCGACCAGTCAAAGATGCCTTTCAGGTAACTGGCATATTTGGTTATCCGGCACCCCCCATTCCCCATGGGCGCCAGATAACAGAGCTTTTGCTCTATTTCGAACCCTGTGTCTCTCAACATTAGAAACCTTACTCTGGGTTGCAGAGAGCTGCCTTGTCCAATCAGGATTCACAACCCTCATGAAGTAAGCTGTTTCCTCTAATGCTTTCTCATCAAAAGTTGTTATGGGATGGTGAATTCTCCAGCCTTCCTCTGGAACCTGCTCCACTTTTTCTTGGCATAGTTAAATATTAATTGAGCTAGAGAGAGGGTGAGCATGATTCAGCACTAACTCACAGCATTCAGTCCCAGTCTCTGCTCCAGTGAATGCTAGATACATAACACTTAAACCTTCTAGAGCTGCAGGCTTTCAAAAATGCCTTTTCAAAGGGTGAAAGTCGCATGGGCCATATATGTGAGATGTCAGCACAGGTAAAACACCTATGTGAAACTATAACAGGCTTGTCTACACTTGAAAATTAATTTGGATTAAGATGGGGAGTGCGTATAAAAGAAAGAGGGATTTCTGAACAGTCTGTCATGGAGAGGGGCTCTTAAGTTTACTTTTATGCCCAACTGAAATCAATTTAAAGGATTTTGTTGTATTAGACCATAAGAACAGACTTGCCATTCATTAGTATTTCTTTGCCAAATCAGAATATTTTACAGATAGAAAGATGGGAATGAGAGGAGGCAATAAGAGGACATATTTGGCACCTATAGTAGAACCTCACCAATTCCCACACTGGGAGGGTGACACCCACTTTATGTAAACTTATTTACTAGCAGACTGTTTGCTGTGGTGAGTTCTTATTGCCAAGACTTATCAAAAATACCACAGAACATTTCCTAGTACAGTAAGATTTTTCATAGATTGTGAAAACCAGAACTACATGGTCAAATATATGGACACATATCAGTTTTTGATGTGTTATTCTTACCTTTTGATTTCGCCATTTACTGTCTAATTTTCCAAATTAAGGAATTTTCAATGTGTATTTTAGTCATTAGTTCCAGTTGATTCAGTTCTGCTGAGTTAAAGGCCTTTTTGGGATGATTATCAGTGGTAATATTGGAAAGAAGTACACATCTGTTTCAGTAATGCTGAGGAAGGTGGCCTGAATATCTCTAAGATGCACGGGACCAAAAATAGTAGCCTTTCCTAACCCCTTTTGAGTTAGAGTTCATGACCTTCTGAAAGTGCTTCCTAAGGAGGTATGTAGTTTGACTTGCATGTTGCACAGGTTTCTCTGTAGAGTTTCTTTCTTTTTATTTTCAGGGTACACAGAGTCTAGTGGCAATGGCAACAGTCCTAAATCAAAACAAAGCAATCAAAGCGGTCAACCTAAACCGTCCTATACTGTATAGCCAAGAGGTAAGTGTGCATACCACAGTATCAGTACAATGAAAGAGATGCATGAATAAAACCAATATGGATGGATTTATGGACACTAGGAGGAGAATGTGGGCCCTGTTTATATTAATGTTTGCAGTTTGTTTGCATCGTTTTTCCACTTGTGCCTAAAATGTGCACCCAGAGCTGCACCTGCGTAACTAAAAGTGTGATTTTTAAACAGATCTAGCAGTTGGACATGTAAGCAATTACCATGGGTTAAAAGAAGGTGGAACTTTACTGCACATCAGTAAGTGCTTATGTGCACACTGTGACCCCATGGTATCTAGAAGCTAAATAATGGCAGTTTATTCCTCAGTGAAGGAGCGTTAAGTCTAGCACAGGATAAGAGCATGCAGATGAGCAGCTATTACAGAGCAGTTGATAGCCATGACTCCTGATGTATCTTGTGGTACATTGTAGGTCCATGCTCTTTCACCTCTACTAGATATTCATTTATTACTAGCTTATAATAGTTTGGTTGGTAAATGTATAGGTACAAAATAAACTGCTGATAACTTCTTATACAGTAAGTGGATCTTTGCAGGGGTTTGCACTTTTTCCACTTTAAACTTTGCAATGTCTGCCTAGCCAAGACCGTATTTCTACAGTTTAGCTGCCTGCCCTCATAAGTCCTGTGCGCTGTATCAGGGAGTTGATTTCTTGGAGACCTTACATGTTGTAATAGGCTAATGCTGAGATGAGGTGATGAGAATCATTGGGTTTGATTCTGGTTTTTGTTACAGAATCATTAAAAAAAAAAAAAATGGGCTGGAAGGGACCTCAGGAGGTCATCTAGTTCATCCCCCACCCAAAGGCAGGATCAGCTCTACCTGTTCTTTACAACCTCCAGTGATGGAGATTCTCCAACTACACTAGGTCATCTTTTTCAGTGCTTAACTGTCTTTGCAGCTAGAAAGCTTTTTGTCCTTGTTAGCCTAAATATTCCTTCTTGTACTTTAAGCCTGTACTACTCATCTTAAAACTGTTACATATTTGAAAGCTGTTATGTCTAGGCTAAATGAAGCCAGTTCTTTCAATCCTTCCTCATCCTGTTTTCTAGACTTCTGATCATTTTTGTCCTTTTCTGGAATGTCTCCAATTGGTCCATATCTTTCTTAAAATGTGGTGCCCAGAACTGGACACTGCTCCAGCTGAGGCCTGATGTGTGCTGAGTAGAGTGGAAGGATCACTTTGTTTGTCTTGCATATGAAGCTGTTGTTTGTGATCTCCAGCTGACTGGGGAAGGGGCGTTGTATTTACATAGTTCAGGAGGAATTTGGCCCAAGAGCAGGTCCCATGTTAAAATTTTGGTTTAATAAAACTGAGTTTGTATTTTCAGGAAGATACCACAGTTCACATAGCTCTGATGCTGAAAAATAACTCTTGTCTTGTTGAGCTGCATTTGTGCAAGCATGAAATTAAGAACTTTGGTGTGGAGCAACTGTGTGAGGCACTGTATGAAAACTACAGCCTGAAATACCTTGACCTCAGCTGGTAGGTGATTGCTATCCTATTTCTTGTTACAGAAACACCAAGCATATTATTGCTGGTGAAAACTTTGTTCAGTGAAGTGCAAATCTAGTAGGCAGGAGGAGTATTTATTCAGCACTTATTACCATTCTCTCTCAGCCAGTCTCTGACTGTATGAGGTGGAGAGTTGGGTTGGAAGCCAGAGGAGGAGAATGGGCAACATTCAGTTAGCCCCAAAGGTGCTGAGGAACTGCCTTGTCCCAGAGAGAGCCCCAGAAAGCACCTGTTTCACAGAGGGGCACTGCTTCCTGGAACATCTCATTGTATAGGCAGGGTAGCTCTTTCCCACACCCTTGTAAGGAGCACACAATCCTCCTCCTGTTCCAGCCTAGCTGGCCTACTGTACAATGAGACCATGGGCCATGGAAAGAGAGCCAGAGGCTTCTTCTACATGGACCATGGAAGGACAGCCAGAGGCTTCTCCTACCCTTCTGCCCCCCTGCGCTGTCAGGGCTTGGGGGCAATGCTGCAGTTCAATGCTAAATGCTTAGGTATGAGATTGGTTTCCCCTTGCAGTATTTCAGATCTACTTCCTGTTTTTGCACTAGCAGGACACTGACAGTGTCCTTGTCCCCTGCTTCACCCAGGGCAAGTTAAAGGGTGTTTTAATGTTTGGGCTTTGTGCCTGGTAGTTTTGTGTGAGGGTTGTTGTCAGAGGTTTTAAGAACAGTTTCGACAAAAGACGTGTCTAGGATGGTTTTGACAGGGATGATCCTGCTTTGAGCAGGAGGTTGGACTAGGTGGCCTCCTGAGGCCCCTTCCTGCCCTACTTTTTGATCATTTCAAGCCCAAGTGATTGGATCACCAACGGGGGAAAAATGCATTTTATAGAAGGTCCTAATCAGCCAGCTGGAAATGATCATTCTACAGAAGTTTTAGAAACTCAAAATTTAGAAGAATTCAGTGTAACCTGTAGGACCTGATCTCTGGAAATGCACGACAGAACTAGGCAGCAGAAATCCCTTTAATCTATTCATTTAGGTGAATAATTGAGTTAATAATCAGATTGGGTATAGTACATTAGATTCAACAGCTGTAAATTGCAGAATAGTTCATTCGGCAG